AAATCTTTAACATTCTTTCAATCTGTATAATGGACAGCGTCTTTACATATAATCTTAGCCATGCACATTGTCAACTTATAAATAAATAATCAGACTTCTATTTTATATACACATACATTTTCTCTCTCCAAATCCTGCATAATTCTCTGTCTCATTTTCGTCATTTTGTGAAAATCGTCAATCGAGAAGGTCGTGTATATGTAAACACGAGCCACCGTCTTCGAAATATATTCAAAGACTTCTCAAAAACCTGGATAAGGATGGAAAAAAGTATTACCGTCAAAGGTAAATTTTAGATTCCATAAATAACCTATCGTAAAAAAAAAACTCGCATCCTTTTAGAAAATATATATATATGACAGGATTTTTTTGATGCAGGAGGGAGGAAAAAAATCATTTGATGCGGAGTAAAAAAAAATCTTATATCATACAGGCTATATGGCATCAGTACTTACTTTCTATCAGTCACACTTCACACTTTTTTTCCATTCTCTTAGACACACACTTCAGTCACGATGCACCATCTCTTCTCACACAGATATACCATATACTAGATATAAACCATCTCAAATCATAAAAACACGATCAGAATTACATAACATCGCATAAAACGTCTTTTTTAAAACCAATATAAGGTCAGTCAGCACATTTTAAAAAGTCTATTTCACAGTACAAAAAAATACACAACAAAAAAACCTTCTCATCAAATCTCATCCACGATAAAAAGTCAAATACTGGAGTTTAGGTTCTGGACTCCCCCCTGTAATGGGACGCGTCACCCTCGCCATTACGGGGGATACAACCATGTGGTGTGATGACACTCACACCAATGTAGCACCCACACTCGCCTATATCAATACTTACATGGCATTGGGAAATCGTGTACTTGAGCATTCATGTCGTCCTTTCCCTCTTTTGGGAAAAACTGTACATGGGTGCGTAAGACTGAGGGTTCATTATTGCAATTACATAAAAAGTTTTTTCGTCCACTTAGGAAATATGATATGATCTTTATATATATATATTATATATATATATATATATATATATATATATATATATATATATATATATATATATATATATATATATATGTAGCAGTGTCTCCGGCAGTTAGCCCTACCAAGAGCCTTGCCGCCATCGAAATGTCTTCGCAAAACCCCTTCTTTTCTCCTGAAGAAATCCTCCAACATCCACCTCTCGGGAGACGCAGGTCTAAAACAACCTCCCCCGCGCCTCCGCCGGAGCAGGGACCTCCTCCTCCTCCTCCTCCTCCTCCCTCTCGCCCGGGACTCATCTGGAGAGCGTCACGTCCTTGGGGTTGTCGCCTCGGGAGTGCCCGGTCGTCCGCTGCTCGATCGTGATGTACTGGCGGATGAGGCGGGAGATCTCGTGCGCCTGCTCCGTCTGGATGCGGGTGATCCTCTGCTGCATCAGGTTGCCGCACTTCATGTCCAGGTACAGCTCGTCCTCGCTCTTCACCTTGCGCGTGCTCATCACCTCGGCCAGGCTGTACTTGATGAGGGTCTCCTGAAGGGGAAGGGAAGAAGGGGGTCAAGAGGAGGGGTTTTATACGTCTGTCTGAACTTCATTCGTAAGATGACATGTTCGATTCTTGGAGACTTTCCTATTTATTTTTAATGTTAATTGATTCTTAAATTTAAGGATATTCTTTGATTATTATAATGTTTAATTCATGGATATTTCATGTTATTTTTGTTGTTAATGAATCAATTCAATTTGCAATAACAGTTTGTCGTATCGGAAACAAAATATTTCACTGTAGACATTATGGAAATGGCTGAAAGAAAGAACAAAAAAAAAGGAAAAGAAGCCAAAAACAAAAAAAGAAAGGAAGAGACCAAAACAAAAATTGAAAGAAAGAAACCGACAAAAAAACGAAGAAAAAAACAGAACACACACACACAAAAAAAGGAAAAGCAAGAAAATCAAAAAGACAAAAAAACCCAACACCCCACCAGTACCCTCCCCTTCCCTCCCTCCCTCCCTCCTTCCCTTCCCCTCCCCTCCTCCCCCCAACGACGACTTACATGCGTGAGGAGGTCGAGGAAGTGCACCCCGTTCTTGTTGAGGGCGAGGATGTGGTCCGACCGCTCCTTGGGCTCCGTCACCCGCTTCACCGCGAAGAAGGACGACCCGAACAGCGGCCACGATTGAAGGATTTCTGGAAGGAAAATAAGTAAATAAGTAAATAAGTAAATGAAGGTAATTATATGAAAAAAATAAATCGCGATTGAAGGATTTCTGGAAGGAAAATATGCAGATAAGTAAATAGTAAATAGAAGTAATTAACTGAATAAGTGAATCGCGATTGAATTTCTGGTAGGAAAAAATAGTAATAAGTAAATAAATAAATAAATAACGCGATTGGAGGATTCCTGGAAAAAAAATTAGTAATATAAAATACCGTAATTAAGAAAAAATAAATCATTATACAAATACATGTTTAATGCTCTGGTTTTCAATTAGTATCAACTATCAGAGTTTTTTTTGGTAACTAATAGATCAGTATTACAAAAATCCAACAAACCGCAAAAAAAAAAAATAGAATCAACAAAACAGATCACCAATAACAACAACAACAAAAACAGCAACAATCGAAAAAAAAAAATCAACGAGATACTACTACTACTACTAATACCAATAAAAACCTGCGCCTTGGCCTGCAGACTGGTGAGCGCCGAGACCTCCGGCCAGGCAGACTGCACCATGTTGACCCACTGCGGAGGCTTCACGTCCCGCACCGTCAGCGCCGGCTTCGGGAGCAAGTACTTGACCTCCTTCATCGTGGGGACGTCCTCGAGGTCAGCGGCGCGGTGGAGGAGGGCGGCGACCTTGGCGATGTCGTACTGGAAGGCAAGAGAAGGGGGTTAGAGATGTGAGGGGAGGAAAGGGGGGGGGGGAGGAGGGAGGAGAGGAAGGAGGGAAGGAGGGGAAGGAGGGGAGGAGGGAGGAGGAAGGAGGGGAGGGAAGGGAGGAGGGGAGGAAGGGAGGAGGGAGGAAGGAGGGGTTAGGAAATGGGGAATTGGGAGAGGTGTTACGAAGTGGTGGGAGAGGTGTTAGAAGTGGTGGGAGAGGGTAATGAAGTGGAGGGGGAGGGGTTAGGAAAGTGGGGGGAAATGGGAGAAGTGATAACAACGATAAAAAATAATGACGCTATACTTAGAAAAAATGCCATCTCTTACCCAATCCATCGCCCAATCATAATGCTACCTTCGGAACCAAAACACACGCAACAAAAAGCAACAAGTCAGACTCCGTTTAATTACCACCCCCTCCCCCACCAGATCCACCAATCCCAACCTTAAACCCAATCACCCCAATCTCCGACCCTCTCCCAACCCCACCCTTAAGCCCAATCACCCCCCTCCCAATCGACCCCCCACGCCCTCCCTAATCACCAAAGCCAACACTCACAATGACATCCTGCTGCAGCTGTTCCCCGGGCGTGACGAGCAGCAGCCCCTCGAGGTAATCTGGGGCAATCTGGTTGAACACGACCTCGTAGTAGAGGGCGTTGTCCGAGCGCAGAGGGTAGTACCACACGCTCCGGCAGAAGATCAGATAGAAGACCTGGGAGGGAAAGAACAAAAAAATGAGACAAATGAAGGGAAAGAATAAAAAGAGATATATGGAGAGACACAATGAAGGGAAAGAATAAATGAGACAAATGAAGGGAAAGAATAAAATGAGACAAATGAAGGGAAAGAAAAATGAGACAAAAGAGAAGGGAAAGAAAATAATGAGGCAAAAAGGGAGTGAAAAACATGAGACAAAGTGAATGGAAGAAAAGAGACAAAAAATAATAGAAGGGAAAAAATGAGACAAAGATTAAGGGAAAGAAAAATATGAGACAAAAGAGAATGGAAAGAAAAAAGTGAGACCAAAAAGAAGGTAAAAAAATGAGGAAGGAAACATTAAGGATCATTTTCAAGATGGTGTTAGCTCTGAATTTAGATTTTTTCCCCCGATTGATCCCAATTGAAATTGCTAAGAATTTATGAGAAATCTTAAAAAAAAACCTTCAAATATATTCTCATAAAAAAATACATTGAGCCATAAATAAGAACAAAAATGTCTTATCAAAAATATTTAACACCAACACCAAGCATCACACATCCACAAAAACAAAACAACTAAAATCATAAAAACAATTTCTCAAAACTCAAACCCTCCTCTCGGCCTATACTCACTTGTTGGTTTTTGAGGAGTTCTGTCGTGACGTCAAGAATATACTCTTCTCTGGCCAGTGGCATCGTGAAGGTGTCCCCCTCGACGATGCAATATAGACTGTACTCTTCCTGTTCGTGGGGATTTCGTACTCCTATGAGGCTGCACATCTCCTCGATGATGTCCTGTAGGATTAAAGGGAAAGAATGTAAGTTAGGTTCCATCCTTAAAATGGCTGTGTTAGTTGCCGTGATACTATGAAGCGAAAATAACGACATGAATCCCTTGACATAAGGTTCCTCCAACATTTCTAACTCTTTCTGCAACGATTATGATCTATTTTCTCTACAAACTCTTTCTACAACTATTATGATCTATTTTCTCTGCAAATTTACAAGGTTTTCTCTTCAATTCTCATCACTATTCACAATCTTTTGTTCTCTCAATAACCATCACATTTACCCATTTCCCTTACTCATTATTCAGTTTTAATTGCCATCCCTCGACGATATGCCACCTCTTTCCGTCACCATCAATCAAAAACTCTCGCTAACTTTCACTTACTCTACCCCCACCTTTTCTTTTTCCCGTAAAGCTAATTTTACGTTCTTAATCCTCTGTCTCCTCTTTTCCTTCCATCTCTTGCTCATTCTCCTTTTCCTCCTCTTTTCCCCTCCTCCTCTATCTCTTCTTCCTCCAACTCCTACTCGACCTCTCCTTTCCCCTCCTCCTCCCTCTACCTCTCCTGTTTTCTCCGTCCTTTTCATTTACTTTCCTTCCCCTCTTCCCTTTACCTCTACTTCCTCCACCTCTACCTCTTCGTATCCTCTCCCTCTTTTGCCATACCTCTCCTCCTCTCCTTCCTCCCTTTAAAGCTTCCATCCCCCCTCCTCCTGCTCCTCCTCCCCCCCCCCTCTTCTATCGCTCACATTCTCTTTACTCTTTCTCCTCCTCCTCCTTCCTTCCCTACCTCCTCCTTCATTCATTCATTCCACCTCTCTCACCTGGACAACCGAAGTGCTTTTCGTGTTAGTGGTTCGTGAACCTCCCGAAAGCCTTCCCCTTCTTTCCCTTACCTCTACCATCCCTTCCTCTTCCTTTTCCTCCCTCTACTCTTCCTCCTCCTCCTCTCTCTTTCCCCTCCTCCTCTTTCTCCTCCTTCCTACTATCACTGGACGATTTTGCTTTTCGTGGTAATGACACGCTCACTGCCCCCAGAAGCCTCCACCTTCTTTTCCCCCCCTAGCCCTCCCCTACCTCATCTATCCCATTCCTTTACCTCCTCCCCTCTTCACCTCTTCAATTCCATTCCCCTCCCCATCGTCCTCTCCTCCTCATCTATCCCTTCCTTACACTCCCCACGTCCTCCCTACCTCTACTATTCAATTCCTTTAACCACCCCCCTCATCCTCTTCAATCCCCTTCCTTTCCTCCCTTCCCCTCCTCACCTCCTATCCCTCCTCTTCTTCCCCCTCCTGACTACCTTCCCCTTCCTCTTCCTCTCTTTTCCCCCCCTTCCTCCCTTCCCCCTCCTCTTCCTCCTCTTCTTCCCCCTCCCTGACTCCCCTTCCCCTTCCTCTTCCTCCCTCTTTTTCCCCCTCCCTTCCTCCCTTCCTCCCTTCCCCTCACCTGGACGACCGAGGTGCTCTTCGTGTTGATGACCCTCTCGGTGCCTCCAGGAAGCCTGTAGATCTGCCTCTTGGAGTTCCTTCCCGCGGTGATGGCTGTGATTTCCTCGATGCTTGGCACATTCTTGCGACCTCCGTACTTGAAGGTCTTGCGGAGGTTCTGCAGACAAACCATCGATGTGCCTGGAGGAAGAAAAAAAAATATGGGGGTGAGAAGGCAATATTTAGTGAGGGAATGAGGGCGAGAAAACCGAGATAAAAAGTGGAGGGTTTATGTTGATTGTTTAAAAGGTATACTGAGCTTTTTATTATTACTATTATATCAATATCATTATTATTATTATTATCAATATTATCATTATTATTCAATTATCATTATTTTTGGATGGGTGTGAAACACGAAAAGAAGAATAATAAATAAAACAACGACACAGACAACTCACCATGATAAGCTCTCCTCTTATCATAAGCTGCGGTTTCCAAATACTTGAAGAGGTAAGGCTTGAGGTTCTCGGAGCAGGTGAAGTAGGCGGCGACGATGGAGAAGAGCCTCCACCCGCGCTGGCAGGAGTCCGGGATGGAGGACTTGTTGTTGGTGGTCTGCTTCATGATCTGGCAGTAGACCTCGTCCCGGAGCGCATGGTGCTTGTGGCAGTTCTGTTAGGGAGAGGGGGAGGGGTTTAGTTTGGGTCTAGTTTTAGTTCCTTTTTACAATGGGTATTCTTTTTGTTGTGACATGCTGTCAGTTTATTTGCTTCTAAAGCACCCCCCGTGTGCAAGGAATGAACGGGGTTACTATCTACAGGCGGGGTCGAACGCAAGTCAGCAAGATTGCTAGACGAGATCGCAACTTACCATGAGGATAGTGTAGACACAAAAACACACCCAACAGGAAGAACCACATACTCACCATGAGGATAGTGTAGAAGCAGTGGAACAATTCATAAATCAGCATGAGGATAAAGGGAACACAGTGGACCAAAACACACCTAAGGGGAACCACACACTCACCATGAGGATAGTGTAGACGCAGTGGAAAACAGACCCCTGATAGGAACCACACACTCACCATGAGGATAGTGTAGAAGCAGTGGAACAATTCATAAATCAGCGTGAGGATACCGCAGTGGACCCTGATAGTCACCTAAGGGGAACCACACACTCACCATGAGGATAGTGTAGACGCAGTGGACCTCCGTCTGCTGCGGGGCCATGGGGTAGTCTCCCATGTAGCGCATGACGGCCACAAAAGTCTCGATGGCCAAGTTGTCCAGCTCCGGCACGAGGGGCAGGAGCGACGCGGTCAGGGGCGACTGGCTGAACTTCACCATCTCGACCTGAAGGAGGAGGTCAAGGGTCAGGTAAGGGAGGAGAAGATGGTTATTCTTCACTTTGTTTTTCTTTGATTTGGTTATTTGATCATTTATGTTGTTTTTCTTAAAGAAGTGGTAGGTTCTGTTACTGTATCTATCTATAATACTCTGTATCTATCAAGTCAATCTCTAATTTATCTATCTACCTACCTATCAATCTATCTACCTATCTATATATCGATCTACCTATCTATCTATCGATATACCTATCAATCTATCTACCTACCTGTCTATCAATCAATCCACCTGCCCATCTCCCTCCCTTCCCCCCCCCCCCCCCCTCCCCGGCCACCTTCTCACCTGCTCCTTCCACGTCCACTCCGCGACCTGGTCCTTGCTCGTCTTCTTCTTCTTGTTCTTGTTGTTGCTGGCCTGCAGCGTGCCGTCGGACTGCACGATGCCCTGCTCCTTGGACATGCGGAAGTGCTGGAGGGCGAACTGCAGGAGCGAGTGCTTGCCGTCGTGCACCACGGGCTGGCTGCCGCTCCCGCTCGCCCCGCTACCCGAACGCCCGCCGCCCCCACCGCCGCCCTCGCCGCCCGACGAGTGGCCGGAGTCGTCGTGGCTCAGGGTGTGGTTGTGGTTGTGGCTCAGGTTGTGGTTGTGGCTCATGTGCTGCGGCGGTTGCGTCCACGTCGAGGTCGTCCCGCTCACGGCGCTGCGGACCTCGGACTCGTTCTCGATCAGACCCGGGTCGATGTCCTCCGTCTTCACCTGCAGGTCGAGGAGGAGTCAGTAAATCAATCCGCGTGGATATTGTGTGTGGATATTGTGTGTGGAAATCGTACATGATCATGTGCGTGGATACTGTATGTGGATATTATACATGATATTGTATGTGGATCGGGGGCTTTCGAATAAACAGTACATGAAAAAAAAACACCTTAAACTCGACCACAACACTCGACAAAACTCCAATAAAAAAACACACACAAAATTCCAAAAGACTCACACAAAATTAAAAAAAATAATCATAAAAAAACCTCTCACAACAAATAACAAAAAACAACACCACCACCAACACCACCTCTTCCCGAGCGACTTACGTGATTCACCCTCTCCTTGGCGGCGTTCCTGGCCTCCGAGCGGCCGATGGGCACCACGTATTCCATCGGGAACAGCCCCGAGCGACCGTCCAACGTGCCCTGGAGCCAGCCTGCAACGGGGGGGCGGAAAAGATTAATTTCGTGAGGGACTTTTGGAGCCTAAGAACACTAAGAACGAATTGAATTAGGAGGTCTAGAACAGGCTAAGAACATTAGAACAGGAGAAGGATTTTAGAACAGGATACGAACATTAAATCACGCTAAGAACATTAGAACAGGAGAAGGAATTTAGGGCAGGATACGAACATTAAATCACGCTAAGAACATTAGAACAGGCCAGGATTTTTAGAACAAGCTAAGAACTTAGAACAGGATAGGAACATTAGAACACACTAAGAACATTATAACAAGCTAAAAATATTAGAACAGGATAGAAACAATAGAACAGGCTAGGAACATTAAAACAAGTTTAGAGCATTAGAACAATCTGTGAACACTAGAACAAGCTTGGAACGTTAACATTAGATCAGGATAGGAAATTTAGAACAGGAGAGGAATATTGGAACAAGCTGAGAACAATGGAACAAGCTAAGAACATTAGAACAGGAGAAAACATGAGAACAAGTTAAGAACAATATAACAGGATACGAACATAAGAACAACACTGGAGAGTTTTAATGCTGAAGAACTTTGGGAGCTTAAGAACACTAAAAAGAACGAGCAAAGAACATTAGAATTACAACAAGCTATGAACACTAGAACAAGCTTGAGAACAATACGTGACAGCCTTAATTCTGAAGAACCTCGGAGTCTAAGACCACGAGAACAGGCAGAGAACACTAGAAGAAACATTGTATTTTTTTCATAACACTTAAGCAAAGATCTCCAAACAGTGAAAAAAAAAAAAAAAAAAAACTCAAGAACAATTGAACACCAACATAAAATACCCAGAAAACTTTAGAACATACGCGAATGAACAGACAAACAAGCTTCTAGAACATTCAAAACAAATACCCCCAAGAACACCAAAACCAACTAGAACATTTTGAACATCAACTTAAAACCACAAGAACAAGTCACAAAATATTGCAAAAAAATTAACACAAAACAAAACCAACAAGAACATTTTGAACATCAACTTAAAAAAAACACAATAAAACAAGTCACAAAATATTGCAAAAACTTAATTCACACGAACAATAGACCTCTGCATTTCACTCATTCGGCGTCACCATCATTATCTTTAACCGGCCGAGCGTTAGTCCGGAAACGGCGATAAATACGTTAGACTCGCACCTCTCACTCCGGATAATGAGGAGAAAATGAGGTCCATGATGTTTATGAGTTGAGAAAATGAGGTCCATGATGTTTATGAGTTGAGAAAATGAGGTCCATGATGTTTATGAGTTGAGAAAATGAGGTCCATGATGTTTATGAGGAGAAAATGAGGTCCATGCTGTTTATGAGGAGAAAAATTGAGTCCATGATGTTTATGAGTTGAGAAATGCGGTCATGATGTTTATGAGTTGAGAAAATGAGGTCCATGATGTTTATGAGTTGAGAAAATGAGGTCCATGAGTTTATGAGTTGAGAAAATGAGGTCCATGATTGTTTTATGAGTTGAGAAAATGAGGTCCAATGATTTTGATGAGTTGAGAAAATGAGGTCCATGATGTTGAGTTGAGTAAATGAGGTCCATGACGTTTTGATGAGTGAGAAAATGAGGTCCATGACGTTTATGAGTTGAGAAAAATGAGGTCCATGACGTTTATGAGGTGAGAGTTGAGAAAATGAGGTCCATGAGTTTATGAGTTGAGAAAAATGAGGTCCATGACGTTTGATGAGTTGAGAAAATGAGGTCCATGACGTTTATGAGTTGAGAAAATGAGGTCCATGATGTTTATGAGTTGAGTAAATGAGGTCCATGACGTTTATGAGTTGAGAAAATGAGGTCCATGATGTTTATGAGTTGAGTGAAATGAGTTCCATGACGTTTATGAGTTGAGAAAATGAGTCCATGATGTTTATGAGTTGAGAAAATGAGGTCCATGATGTTTGAGTTGAGAAAATGAGGTCCATGATGTTTATGAGTTGAGAAAAATGAATATGTTTATGAGTTTAATGAAGTTTATGAGGAGAAAATGAGGTCCATGATGTTTATGAGGAGAAATGAGGGCCATGAATGAGTTGAGTAAATGAGGTCCATGACGTTTATGAGTTGAGAAAATGAGGTCCATGATGTTTATGAGTTGAGAAAATGAGGTCCATGATGTTTATGAGTTGAGTAAATGAGGTCCATGACGTTTATGAGTTGAGAAAATGAGGTCCATGATGTTTATGAATTGAGTAAATGAGGTCCATGATGTTTATGAGTTGAGAAAATGAGGGCCATGATGTTTATGAGTTGAGAAAATGAGGTCCATGATGTTTATGAGGAGTTATGAGGAGAAAATGAGGTCCATGACGTTTATGAGGAGAAAATGAGGTCCATGACGTTTATGAGGAGACAATGAGGTCCATGCTATTTATGAGGAGTTATGAGAAGGAAATGAGGGCCGTGACCTTTATGAGGAGCTATGAGGAGAAAATGTGGTTCATGATGTTTATGAGGAGTTATGAGAATTGGGTGAGTTATGAGGTCATCGGAGCGAGGAACATACCAAGAACAAACAACATATTTTTTTTTGTTAGAAATGGGAGAAAAGACGAAAACAAACAGAATAAACCTTTTGAAAAATAGAATGAAATGAAATAATTCGAATTATGGGATTATCGAAGCGAGGAAGAGAACGAGAACAAGCAAATAGAAGAATAACTTTTTGTCTGAAGTGAAACGAAACGAGAACGAAGAATACAATTTGTAACAAATAGAGTAACAAAAACAGAAAAGAATAACTCTCATAATTGATGGAATTACAAGAAACTACAGTAATCTTTGTAACAATAAATAAATTACTTGAATAAATTACTTGAATGTATAATTGAGTGTGGATACCGATCAGCAAGGACAAAAATACAACAGTGTAGAATACAACAACAACCACCAACAACAAAACACACACGAACAGTACAGAAAACAACAAAAATAACAAAAACTACAATGAACACACAAACAAAGTATAAGACAGAGATCAACAACAAAACAACAACACCGCCCCCCCAGCAACAGCAAAAACAACAAAACAACAACAAAATAATGCAACAATAAACCCCAAAACAATGCAGAAGACAGAACAACAACAACACCCCCCATCCACACCACCACTACCCCCACCACCTCCAACAAAAAATAACAACAACAAAAAAACACACAACCAATGCAGGAGACAACACCAACACTCCACCACCTCCACCCCACCAACAACAATAAAAAACAAAACAACAATAAACACACAACCAATGCAGGAGACAACACCAGAGAGTAGAGGGGGAGGGGGAAGGGTGGAAGAAAAATGGAGGGGGGTAGAGGGGGAGGGGGAAAGAGTGGGAGAATAGGAGGGAAGGGGGTGGGAGGAAAGGGGTGAGGGGAGAAGAAAGGGGGTAGAGGGGGGAGGGGGGGAGAAAATGGGAAAAGGGTGGGAAAATGGGGGGAGGGGGAGGGAGGGGGAAAGAGGAGGAGAGAGAGGGAGAAATGGGGGAAGGGGCGGAGAGGGGGAGGGTGGAGAAAAGGTGGGGTAAGTGGGAGAGGGGGAGAGGAGAACGGGGGAGGGGAAAGGGTGGAAGAACTAAAGGGGAAAAGAGGGAGATCGTAGGAAGAAAAAAAAAGGGGGGGAAGGGAAAAGGATTGGAATTACGAAAGGTGAAACAGAGAACAAAGGTGGGGCGAAAGGAAGGGGGAAGAAGGAATAAGGGAAGGGGAGAATAAGGAGAAATAATGGGGAAGTAGAGAATGAAAAGGAGGAGAAAGAGGAGAAGAGAACTGAGACGAACGCGCCATACCAAAAAAAAAGAAAAAAAAAAAAAAAAAAGTAACAACAATAATAACCGAAAAGCGAAGAAAAAAAAAGCACCGAAGGAGGAAGAAGGAATAAAGGGAGAATAAAGGAAAAGGGAAATAAGGGAAAAAACAGAGAATGAAAAGGAGAAAGAGGAAAGAAAGAATTGAGAAGGAACGCATCATATTCCCCCCCCCAAAAAAAAAAAATTAAAACAAAAAAAATAACACAAAAAACAAAAATGAAAGTGTAAGAAAGGTAAAAGAGAAAAAAAGAAAATTAAAGAAAAGAAGAAAAAAAAAACGAAAAACGAAACAAAAATGAAAAAATGAAAAAAAAAAAATGAAATGAAAAGTAAGAAAGGCAAACAAAAAAGCAAATGAAAGAAAAAAGAAAGAAAAAAAAGAAGAAAAACGAAAAAAAAACACCGCAATCTACGATTATGTAAGAAAGTAAAAGAAAAAAAAAAAAAGAAAGAAAGAAAACAAACGAAAAACGAAAAACAACAAAAATGAAGTGTCAAAGGTAAAAAAACAACAACAAACAAAAACGAAAGAAAGAGAAAACGAAAAAAACGAAAAAACAAAAAGAACCAATGGAAAAAACAGAAAAACACGAAAAAACGAAAAAACGAAAAAAAACGAAAAAACAACAAAAAAACGAAAAACAACAAAAAGTCAAAACGAAAAGAAAAACAAAACCAAAAACCAAAAAACAACACACCACCGCCTCCAACTCACCATTATCCCCAAACTGGTCCGTGGTGATGATGCGGATGATGTCTCCCTTCTTGAAGTTGAGCAGCGTGGACCCCGTCGTCATGTAGTCGGCGATGGCGCGCACGAACTCCCGGCTGCCCTGCAGGAGGAGGGGAGGAGGGGGAGGGGTCAAAGGGCGTCAGGCTTTGGTTTGGGGTTTGTTTGCTTTGGGTTTGGGGCTTGTTTTGTGGGGGCTATTTGGGGTTTGGGGGCTTGTTTGTGGGGGCTTTTTTGTTTGGGGCTTGTTGTGGTGGGGTTTTGCTTTGGTTTTGTTTTGGGCTTGTTTGCTTGGTTTTGGGCTTTTTTTTGGTTTTTGTTTTGTGGCTGTTTTTTTTTTGTTTTTTTTTTTTTTCTTTTTGTTTGTGGTGTTTTTTTTTTTTTGTTTTGTTTTTTGTTGTTGTTTTGCTGTTGTTTTGAGCTGTTTTTTTGTTTTTGTGTTTGTTTTTGTTTTTCTCTGTTTTTTTTGTTTGTTATTGGTGGTGTTTGTTACTGTTGTTTTTAATGGGGGATTTCTGTTGTTGTTTCTACTGTTATCATATAGTTATTATCATTAGCATTATTATTACAATTATCATGTTGTTGTTGTTGCCGTTATTATTATTATTATTATTATTATCATTTTTGTTCTTTTATACGTGGAATAATGCAATAATGGCAAAGAGTGAGTAGAGAGTTCATATCTGGAAGAAAGAATTTAGTAATCAATAAACAAAAATGAACAGATAAACCAACAAAAGCGCCATAAACAACAAAACAATCAAACGAAAGAGACAATAATAAAAGTGAATCAAAAGCGCAATAACAATAAAACAAACAAAAATAAAAAAACAAAAAAAAAAAAAAAAAAAAAAAAAAGCGCAATAAACCTCGCCCCGAGAACCCCCACGTCCCCCCCCTTCGGCCCCCTTCGCCCCCCCCCCCTTTCGGCCCCCTGCGAGCGAGTACCTGGAAGGCCAAGTGGGCGAAGGCGCGCGGCTTGAAGTTGTTCCTGACGGCGTGGTAGAGGAGGATGGCCCAGCCCATCCTGGCGGTGGCGCCCAGGGCCTCGTGCCAGTCGTCGAGGGCGGGCGACACGCTGGTGATCTCGCTCAGGTCGCTGCCGGCGCTGCGGCGGGAGCTCACGCTGCCCTTGAGCGCGGACTTGAGGGCGGGCGCGGGCGGGGCGTCCAGCAGCGGGATGGGCGGCAGCGACGGGTCGTAGATGTCGTCCTCGAAGTTCACGCTGAGGCGGCTGGCTTTGAAGCCGGTCTTGAGCGCCGTCTTGAGCTGGAGGGCGGGCGGGATGTAGGGCAGCGACGGGTCGTACACGTCCCCCTCCGGCGTGTCGTAGAAGCTGTCCGTCGAGGCGGACTCCGTCTCGGACCGCTTCCTCTCGAAGCTGTCGAAGTCGCTGTCGGCGAGCTCGTCCTTGACCGCCTCGCCGTCCCGCTCCTTCCTCCCGCCGCGCCCGTGGAGGCTGAGGACCGGCGTCGTCGGCCGCTCATCGCGGAGGTCGTCCCGCGACGCCCGCAGCGCCCTCCGCAGCATCGGGACGTCCACCAGCTGCGGCGGCGGCGGCGCGGGCGGCGGCGACGGCGTCTGGAACTCGCCGCCGGCCACGATGTACTCGCTGCTGCACGAGTACTTCTGCTCGGCGTCGGCGTCGCCCTCGGCCTCCCTCGGGTCGGCGTCGAAGGCCCTGTGGTCGTGGAGCATCTCCTCGTAGTCCTGGTCGTCGTCGCCGATGCCCGGCATGTGGAACGACAGCGGGTTGAAGCGGATCTTGGCGCCGAGCGGGAACCCGGCGTCCAGCCCGCCGAAGAGGCCGCGCCCCGTCGGGACGGGCTGCAGGCTGTCGTACAGGAGGTCGTCCTTCGGGAAGGCGTAGCATGGCTCCAGCGAGTCCTGGACGATGTCCAAGGAGTCGTGCTCGAGGTCCGAATAGTCCGGGTCCGGGTGCATCCTGCTCATGGGCTCTCGAGGCGCTCCTTTAAGCTCCCACTCCACGCCCTCTCATTATTCGCGCCCGATGCTCACTCGGTGTCATCAGCGAGCCGCCCACATGCTACACTTCCTCGCACTTCCTTTCT